CGGAACGAATTTACGGAAAATTAACTAACGAACGGAGACGTAACAATATGTTGTATTTCGAAAACTATAAGAATGATTTTTTTGTAGTTTAATCACCCTATCTTAATACACCCATCATGACTGTGGTATTTCATTCTAAGTTTTAGATATGGGATAACAATAAACCTATGGCCAGGTGGTTAGGGCGCTTGAGTCGCAATCCCCGCCCAACCAAACATGCTCGCCCTTTCAGCCGTGGGGACGTTATAATGTGACGGTCAATCCCACTATTCGTAGGTAAAAGAATAGCCCAAGAGGTGGTGGTGGGTGGTGATGACTAGCTGCCTTCCTTCTAGTCCTACACTGCTAAATTAGGGACAGCTAGCGCAGATAGCCCTCGTGTAGCTTTGCGCGAAGTTCAAAACAGACAAACAAACAATAAACCTTTCAGAGTCAGTCAAAATGTATCACATTTGCATTCTGTATATAGTTTCCAAGCTACCAATATATTTTAATTCCCGTGTATTTCAAAGTTAAACAAGAGCGAATCCTCAATAGCCGCGGCACTTGAAATTCTTTTAGGCAGGATTAGAGTAAATTAATTTATGAGACCCTTTTTTTCTTTTTATTAGCTACATTTCTGTGCGCCAGGAATATCAAGCGTGGGGCGCGCGTATACACGATTCGATTTTATTACTCATCAGGACCTTTACCAACCTATCCTCAAATTGAAATTCGTTTAGGCAGGATTAGAGTAAATTAATCTGAGACCCTAGGAACGGTCAAATATATCAATCGAAAGAGTTTGACCTCCTGAGTTCAAAACTGTAATTAGGTCTCAAATCGGCCAAGAGATGATGGAGCTATGAGCTAAAAGTTGTACTTCCAAAAAAACAAAAAACTCAGAACCATTCTATGAGCCGCTATGCCTCGGCTAAAAATTGAAATCCGATTTGCGAAAAAAGATTATACAAACAGCAAGTTACCAGAAAATGGGATTCGTGTAAGTAACTATTCCTACCTGTCCACAGGGATTGTTTGGAGATAACAAAGTATAGGAAAATACGATAAGTTTTTTCTTACTCATCAATGAAATTGTCTTTAGTGATATTTACAGCTCTTTGGTTCACTAAAACAACCTCATACGTAAATTCCATTAGTTGATTTAAACACCGCAAGTGAATCTTTTTTTTTTGTCGATTTTTAAGAATTCTAAGAACTAAGATTAAGAATTGGGAAGAATGTGTAACAATGTCTCAATCACACAATGATTAAGCTACAGGCTGTTTAGATTTAAATTAGACCTCTAAAAAATATAACAACAGACGCATACATAGGAGAACCGGAAGACCTTCTCACACGTGCATCTCAGAACACATCAGTACGTTATATACGTATGAACAACATAAAACCGTCTCAGCAGAACACTTCCTATATAAACACGGAACTCCAAACACAGAAAATAAAAATCCATTTCAAATTTTTATCGTACAAAAAACCAAAGATTTTAAAGAAAGAGAGAAAATATATGGAAGATATACTCATTAACGAAATGGCTTGGCATGGTCAGGTGGATAGGGCGCTCGACTCGCAATTTGAGGGTCGTGGGTTCGATTCCCCGTCCCACCAAACATGCTCGCCCTTTCAACCGTGGGGGCGTTATAATGTGACGGTAAAAGAGTGCCCAAGAGTTGGCGGTGGGTGATGATGACTAGTTGCCTTCCCTCTAGTCTTATACTTCTAAATTAGGGACGGCTAGCGCAGATAGCCTTCGTGTAGCTTTGCGCGAAATTGAAAACAAATAAACATTAACGAAAAGAATCCAAAAATGAAGAGAGACAATGGGTGGTACATGTAATAAAACCACCATTCAGAAAACAACACATCATAGCAATACACTTGCCATTACACTTTCAGTTTAACACTTACGTAATCTGAAGTATCACACAGTCTTATAATTTGTTTTTAATACTGCTGGTAAACTTTGTGTCCTTTCAACTTTATATTTTTGTTTCATAGCAGCATCTATTTCCGTCTTTGTTTTTCCAGTTAATCAAAAAACGTATTTTGGTTCTCTTTATATATTTTATTTAAGTAATATATGTCATATGTTAGTATAACTATATAGTTAGTATTATAACTATACTATAATATTGTTACGCTTCCAGTCGTTAATTAATTTTCCGTAACTTCGTTCCGACGAAACTTTAGCGACACAAGTCCTTACTTAATAAAACTGGTTTATTCTTATTCGAATACAACTTTACGATACACTTAGTTTCAACAGTCGCGCTATAACAAACGCTATATCTCACGTGGCC